GTTTGATTTAATGTAGAGATGAGGTCTCAACAAGTTGCCCAGGCGGGTCTCGAACCCGCGGGCTCAGGCAATCCACTCACCTCAGCCTCCCAAAGGTGTGGGATTACAGGCTGAGCCACCGAGCCCGGCTCTTCTTTTTTTTTTAGATTTATTGTAGGGACGGGATCCTACTATGTTGCTAAGGCTGATCTCGAACTCCTGAGCGCAGGCGATCCTCTTGCCTCTGCCTCCCAAAGTGCTTGGGGTTATAGGCATGAGCCACTGCCCCGCTCACAAACAGTTTTCTAAAATGGAGGACAGCAACATTTGTTGAACTCCTACTATATGCCAGTTGGGACTTTATACAAGCCCTTTGCTTTAGTGTTAGCAATAAAATGTAGGTAGCTGCATTATTTATTGTTCCCTCTATCTTATAGATGCCGGAAATCGAGGCTGGGAGAGAGAAAGTAACTTGCTTGAGGTCAGGCAGCTGGTAAGCGGGACCCAGCCCAGATCTAGTCTTCTCTCTGCCAGGTTTCCACAGCGCAACATTCCCAGTGTTCCTGGGACACAGTCGGTAGGAACTGATGGTCCTTACCAAGTGAATGCCTCTGTCTCTCTGACCACTAGGCATTCTCAGATGCTGGGAAGGGCCTAAGCAATGATGCCACGTCCTTGCTGGACAAGACATGCACCTGCTCGCCTGGAGAAAGAGAAAGGATGCTGTAAAGGGATGGTGCTAAGCTGGGTGTGGAGTAGTCCTTGTAGATCTCGTGGGGATAAGGAGCGGCATGAGCTGGGTCTTAGGCTGGAGGACAGGCAGGAACTGGCCGAGGGACAAGAGACAGCCTGGAAGGAGTGCTGGACCCAGGAGGAGTCGAGGCTAGCCAAAGGGAGAGGTGGGACAGGCTGAGAGGGTCTGAGATCTGAAGATTTGCCCTGGCAGGCAGAAGCCAGGTAAAGACAAGCAGCTACCTCCACCCTGGGGGCCAGATGCATCCTTAGCCTAGAGTAGGCAGCAAGATTTCTGGCTCAGGGTGTGACCTCAGTCTGGGGAAAAGCACCTACTCCAACAAAGACCACCTGCTCCCCAAACTGCTTCAGGTGCGGAGCCTGAGCCAGGTTCAGGGAGCTAGACTGACGCCTGGGGTCACCCTAACACAGTACCTGGCTTCCGCAGCTATGGGACCAAAGGGGAATTACAGCCCAAACACTCTGGTGCTGGCTCTAAAGCTAGCACAGACCTCAGTTCCTGCAAGTTGTATGAACCACTCACTTTTCCAGGCTCAGAGAAGTGAAGGAGCCTTGCCCGATGCCCTAGACCAGGGTTCTGGATCAAGTGTTCTCTTGTCCCTGTGCTCATAGAGGGCAGCAGCTGCTCTGACTGCACGCCTGGTGACTTTCTCCAGCTGTGGAAGCCCAAGAGAATGACCTGTGTCCATAGACGCACTTGGTGGTCAAGCGCACTCAGAGGCAGAGGCAGATGAGTTGCGCTTCAGGTGGATTGTGAGCCCTCGAGTCCAGTTGTGGTCTCAATGGAGACAAGGCTCTGTTTGGGACAGCACTTGTGACATGGCACAGAACTGGCAGCAGGCAGTGAGCAACTCAGGCGGTTTGCCTCTGGGTGTGTCCACAGTGCCTGGAATGGGAGTTGGCTCAGACAGAGCTTGGTTCTTTACAGGTGGCTGAGGCACAAAGAGACCACAGCTACCAAGTACAGGAGCCAGGACTCCAGCCCGATTGTGTGGCCTATGCCTACACCCCTGCTTCTCTTGAGTTGCCCTGGCAGGCCCAGCAGATGCCTAATGCCTGTGCCCACCCCAGCACCACAGTTGTCCAGGGTTAGGGAAGTTAAGGGAGCCCCAGGCATCCCAAGATGCTAACGCCCTTGCCCCTCACCACCCTTCCTCCTGCTTCAACCTCACCCCCTACACTTAATTTAGCACCAAGCAGATGCCTCCATTAATTAGAATCTGATCCTCTCAAACCAGAAGCAACCTCACCCCTGCTTAGCCTCTCCCTCTGGCCTCATGCCATTTGGGATCCAGCCAGTGGCTCGCAAACGAGCCCTGCATCAGGGCTGAGGAACTGATGTTAATTAATAGGAAACCTCAGGGTGGTTAATTGGTATTTATTTCCCCAGATACACACCTCGAGGTTGATGGATGATGCTGTTCCTGCCAGCCTCAGGCAGAGGGGAGGACTGGTTAACTCACTGAGTTACAGCCCTGCCACGGTGGCTGCCCAGCATGAGAGCGTGGGGATAGGGAGGTCACCTTCTTTGTACTTTCAAGTTCCTGCCTCCCCCTCAACCACCTCCTTCCTGCCTTCTCTCCCACTGCTGCTGTTAAAGGTCGTGGAACCTAAATCAGACAAGCCCGAGTTAGAACCCCAGCTCCATTTCAGACTAGCTCTGTGAGCTTGGGCAAGTTACTTAATCTCTCTGAACCTCAGTTTCTCTATCTTCAGACTCTAAAGCAGATGAAACATAAATTCCAGGGCCAAGCACAGGCTTGAAACATGGCATGTCTTCAGCACACCATTACCCTGTGGACACCCTGAAATGTCCCAGTGGCCCCTCACTCTCAACATGTCCCCCCAAACCTGCCCTACCAGTCATCTCCACTTCCACCCCCAATAGCCCAAGCCAGAAGCCTGGGGTGTCATCTGGGACACCTCTTCCTTGCCCTCCGATAATCGCCTATTCCTGACAATTGTGCCTCCTACATGCTTGACCTGTCTACATCTCCCACCCACTGCCCAATGTCCCAGATATTTCCATCTCTCTGGATGCTCACATCATTCTCCAGACTGGTCTCGCCCCCAGTCTCACTCTGCTCTTCCTCCCCATGAAAGCCTGCCTTGGCAGCCAGAAAGAGCTCCCTGAAGACTGAATCTTATCAGGTCACTCCTGTGCAAAGCCTTTCAGTGGCTCCCCGTTGTCCTTGGGACAAAGTATGTTCCTGGTTTCCTATGGGATTTACAGGACTCCCCATTATGTATCCTCCACCTGGGCTCCAGTGGGCCCTGTTGCAATTCCTGGGCTCATGATGCCAGGCACCAGGTGGCCTGCACATGTCTTTCCTTCTCCATCTGCCGTGATGAGCTCCCATTTCAGGACTTAGCTTGGTCACCAACTCCTCCAGGAAGTCTTTTCTGGCCCTCCACGCTGGATCAGGAGTTTTCTGGGCTCCACGATCCCCCGAGCCTGCCTTACCTGCAGGAGAACTCTGTACTTAGTGGGCACTCAGACATGAGTGCTGCAGGCGCCTTCTTAAGAGGCTTGCACCAACAGGAAGGCGAGAAGTAAATCTTTCTCCACTTGAGGAATACCCTCCCAGGTCCCTAAGGTCCCTGTGGCAGAAGGCTCAGATCAGGAAGGTTCTCCTGGGCCCCGGGGGGCAGTGGCCAGAGCTTATTCAGCCTCTACTCCAGCCCCCGTTGCCTGTCTCGGGCTCCACTGCACACACAGCTTTCTCCTAACCACGTTATGACAGCCATCTGCTCTTGCAAGGATTTCATTAGCCCCCTGAAGCAAACCCAGGGGCCTCAGGAACCAAGCCCAGGCCCAGCAGCAGGCTGTCAATCTTCCTGCCAAGACCATGCAGAAATAATGGCCCAGGCCTAGTCCAGGCCTCCTTGGCTTTCTATTTTCAGTAGAGCTCACAGAGTAGCCTCTTCAGCGGTCTCATCTCCAGCCTGGTGCCTCCAGCCTGGCACCTCCAGCCCAGCCTGATAGCTACCCTGGGGCCTTGCAAGCAGCACAGCTGATGGGCCCGCCGCTCCTGAAACCCTTCATCAGCACCACCATCTGCTTAAAGGATGAAGCTCTGCTCTAGCTGGCCTAGGAAGCTCTCCAGGCCCACCCC